CTTTGTCTGAGTTTGGTCCAAACTGAATTGATCAAGAAGTGAAGCACACCTGTCTCAGGTCAAACTTCCACCTCAGCAATGTGAGCGACTGATAGAGGCAAATACAGAAATGTAAATGCATCCTGTTCTTTAATTATGGGTGAACTGGATTTCTGGAAAACCTTTTTCATGCTTATGTAACAAAGAATGACAGAGTGGAGTCTAATGTGTCTTTTTGCACTGTTTTGGTCAAAATTCAGTTATCTTAGATCAAATAAATCATCGAGGATCAAAGTAGCTGCAAATTGGTCACTAATCCGATTCTCTACCTCCTCAAACTTCTGTGCAATCATGGAGAAGGCTCTGTAGATTCCCTCTGTAGGTCCTGTGATTGTCACAATTCTCTCAGGAGATGATCCCTCCGATATGTTGATGCGAGCCCCACTCTATAAACACACCACACCGTTAATTATTCAAGCTTTCTTTTGTTCCAAGTATTCAGCCTGGATTACGGAAGCGCCGCTCGCCACCATGCAGTAAAGACACCTCACCTCCTCCCTCATCTTCTTTACCGTCTCTCCTTTCTGAAATCATTCCAATAAACAAAAATGGGTTTTATGAGGCAAATGCAATGAGACAATAACTGCAAAAAGTTACAGTTAATAAAATCTACCTTTCCAATTATGCTCCCCACTTCCTGTAAGAGAAAATATAGGAACAAGTGAACAAGAGGCAGCATGCTCTCAGTTTTACAGCAGGATTTAATCATTTCAGAAGCCGTTACAACCAGATGGGTCATTACAGGAAAAACACAGTCCTGAAGATCTGCACATCTGCTGATTACCTTTCCGTGCATCAGCAGCCTCAGCGTTAGCGTGACGTTAAGACCGCTATCTAAGGCCATTTCTTCCTTGTCCGACATCCTCTGTGATTTCAGATCTTTAAGGTAAACACTCTGCAAAAAGAAAGACAGCACCAATGCTTTAGAAGGAGCGTAATGCTTCAGGATGTGCAGGAAATGATGTGTAAAATTGAGGAGGAAATCAGCCTCATCCGAGAATATTTTTCAAAGAAGCAGATTTATCTGTGTTCAGAGTTTGAGTGAGCATGGTCTTTGCTTATAACTAAGTTATAGTTAGAGCAGAAATAGTCTATGATTTTTTATTACAAATTTACACCTGCAGAAAAGTCAGATCCTTGTGCTTGAAGGCATATCATAAAAAAATGAAAAGCATGACATCCAATCTTTAGCCTGACAAGGCAAAGATAAAAACTTTTATTATTTGGGCCCAAATTTAAGATTGGCAGAAAAGAAATTTCGCTGGAGGATTTATAGAAGGATGAAGGTTACCACATTTTGTTTTATTATAAACCCTAAACCTTTTACTGGGATTTCACAGAAAGGAGGGCTTATTTGGAGAATGAAAACACTTTTTTTTTCTTTTTAAAATACAAATCTGGAATCTGTGCTGAACATTTTTCATTTACTGCCATTTACTGTGATGTTCTTAAATAAAATCAAGTTTTACCAGTTGCTTTCAGAATGCAAATAAGTCGTTCATTTCCTGGATGAACTCAGCTGTTAATTTAAGGCTTCATAGTTTCTTTGTTGGTGTTTTTTTAAGAACATTGGTGTAAAAATAACATAAATAGATCTTCAAGAAATACAGATTAAAGCAGAGTCTGGTTCTGCAATAACAGTCCAAGCTTTAAATAAACAAAGAGAAATTGTAATCCACCTAAATTAATTGGGAATGGTAACTCTGGAGGAGCTGCAGAGAACCACAGCTCAGGGGAGAGAGAGTGTCAACAGGACGTCTATCAGGCATTTATTCAACATTTCTTGCCTCTATTAAAAACTGGCATTAGACCCAACAGTTAGATGAGAACCATGAGAATCTCCATTTCTACCTTTCGACTTACTAATGAGACGTTCTGTAAACCCCAAAAAGTAAGAGGAATTTAAAAAAATAAAGACAGTTTCCTCAAAAAGTTTATTAGAAATTACGTTGTACTTCTTCATGTAGATTTCCGTCTAATCAAAACGTATCATTATGCTAAATAAAAAACTCCACATACTACCATTTAACATTTTAACTTATATGAACTGAAACATTTTCAAGTTTCGAGTTCAAGTTTAATGTTCAGTTGCTTCTTGAATCCAAATTATAAACACTAACGCACACTAAGACACTCAGTATTATACTGACATCAATTAGCATAATGTTTATTTCCTCGTATTACCTGAGAGAATCATCTCAACATATTCTCATCAGTTCGTATGAAATCGTACGAAAAGTTATGCACAGTATTTCGTACGTTTTTGACGTTTTTTCTCGAAAAAACAGATCAGTGCGCAGCCAGACAGACGAAAAAAGCCGATCGCGGACGGACGTAAAACTGGGAAAAACAGGTTGCTTGCTGTTTTGTATCTTAGGGTTAGGGTTAGGGTCAGGGTTAGGGTTAATTGTATGTTAAATTCTATGTTACTGAATGGTGCGTAAGATGCGCATGCGCAAGGATATCTTGTCTCGAGGCAAGACGTACAAATACGACGAAATACGACGAAAAAAACGTCAAAAACGTACGAAATTACCGTGCATAACTTTTCGTACGATTTCATACGAACTGATAATGAGAATACACTGATCATCTTGTTAATATTTGTTATCCTCATACCTTGGAGACACTAAACGGTCTCAATTAAATCCATTTTCAACTATTTAACCGATGGTTGCATTACTTCCATTTTACAGTTAAGTTGTTCTTTATTAAGATTTCAAAGTTATGCTTAATCAATACACAAATAATTCAGATTATTATAAAGGTTTGAGTGAAATGAACTCAATAATTAAGAATATTCTAACTCATTTGTTGACATGAAGTTTAACAACATAATGATTTTTAACTACTCAGCCTAAATAATTGCTTTCAACATGTGGCAGCAAACAAACACCCTGACTACAAAATCCCTGCATAAAACACGGTGGGGGCAGCTTCATGGTGCGGGGACACGTTTCTTTTTTTCTTAAATAGCACATTTCTAACAACTCAACATATTCTCATTATCAGTGCGTATGAAATCGTACGAACAGTTATGCACACTATTTAGTACGTTTTGGACGTTTTTCCTCAAAAAACCACATCAGTGCGCATGCGCTGGCAGACTCATGTCTCTAACTACGTTGCTTGCTGTTTTATATCTTAGGGTCAGGGTTAGGGCTAATTGTAATTTATATTCTAGATTCGTAAATGGTGCGTCAGATGCGCATTTGCATACGACAAAAAAACATCCAAAACGTACGAAATTATGGTGCATAACTTTTCGTACGATTTCATACGAACTCATAATGAGAATAGGTTGAACAACTCTGGCTGCACAAAGTGCTTTACAAACAAAGTAGCTGATATTAACCATCACACTAGAAAAAGAACAGAAAAAATTCAAATACAAATACAGAAATGAGAGAATAAAACAGTCAGAAGGAGGAACTACATTCCAGATAATAGTAAGAAGAAAGCCATTAAAGATATATATTTTTAA